TACATTCCATTACCCCTCATCTTGCTGCCTATTCTTCTATCTAATTTAATTTCTTATTTCAATTCAGTTTCTTTTTTAACACTTACACTGAATAGGATTATAAGAGGAATTATCTTACTTGGAAACTCTGGATAGAACCCTTGTCCTTGTCCTTCAATTGGTGAGCTGAGCCTGAGGGATATTTCTTCTCAAATGCTGCCTCAGTGTTGCCGAAGAACACGCTGAAGACAGAAAACAAAGAAGCAGTGATGATTAGTGAGGCAATTTTTTTGCTACCAAAATCATTAGCTATTCTTTTTTGGAAGATGGGAGATGAGTATGTGGTCCATGCATGGATGGACCATATACATACATGTATGATATAGGGTCTAGAGTCTACTCCCAACTAACTTATATAGATGTAGATCCTACACATGTATTAACACTTATGTATGACATTAGTTTAAGTTTGTCGATGTTTTAGCCAGGCATTAAGTTACTGAAGAAATACAATGAATACAAAATTAAAATATTGAAAACACAATCAATAATAATAATAATCCGCTTTTTTATAGTGCTTAAGAGTAAGACATTAATAATGTATCTAAGCAGTTTACAGATTATTATTACCCCGTCCCCGGTCATCGGATTCAATCAGGATTGCCCGCACACAATGTATGCACATTCTCCACTCCCTGGGGGAGTATTCCAGCCATGCATGCAGTCTAGGTCTAGTCCTTATTTATAATATTTCAAAACTTATTGATTTTCTACACTCGTAGTTACTAGTACAATAAACCACCCCTGCAGGCATGGGGCTCACTACGTTAGCCCCATGGTGTATACCTATCTAAAACGCACAGGCAACAGTGTTTTTCCCCCCAAAGAACTGGTTAAATAAACTTTTCATGCACACTGGTTATTGTTTATTAATCTTACTTTGCATTTGTCAAGTAACTATTTCAGCAACATTTAAACATTAAAATATTGTTAATTTACTGAGAAAAAAAAAATAAAAAAATAATTTTATCAAATAGCTCAACATGTTAGCAATGAAAGTTAATATGAAGACAGTAAATTTATTAAATAAATAAATCCTCTATTTTTAGTGCTTCAACATACTCAACAGTGTTGCACTGATGTTTTTTTATTAGCCTCTAGATACGTAAATGTAAACATTTTGACAAAATCCCAGTTACTGTTAATGTTATTACATGGCTAGAAGTGTAAAGACTAAGGGTGACAATAAACCTACTACTAGTAAACTGGTACCTAGCAAATAATTTGAACAACATAGTCATAGAATCTATACTGTGGCGGAATCAAGGGAGGGGGGGGGGGGGAATCGGCCATGGCCCTCCCCTTCTCCTTTTTGTTTGCTTGTCAAGGAATATTTTGGGTAGATCTAGACTAGATCTAAACAGACACTTGAAAAAGCTAAGGATCATTTTTTCCACTTTTTTCGCTGGTCAGCGAATTTTTCTGGTGCCTGATGAGGCCCTGAGGCTGAGCAGACTTCGGCCTAGACAGGAATAACCATCTTTCTGGGGGCATTCTTTTGACAAAATGACAGAGCTCAGAGGCATTTAGAGAAGCCAGATATGCAATCTCAGCGGATCCAACCGTCAACGCCAAATAGAGGCTGATATTTCGGTCCAACTTCGGCCCTCCCTTTTGAAAAATCCTGGATCCGCCGCGCCGCTGAAATAGATCTAGATCTATACTAAGACTAAGTTGCGGTGTATTGCATATTGCATAGTTGAATCTAGATCTAGACTCTACACACTAGACATCAATAGCCGTGGAATATGAGGTTGTTTTTTTTTTTACAATTCTGACATTTGCTTGCTTTTTCCTCGTACCGGTATATCTAGACTAGTCTAGATCTATACATACGAAAATTCCACACTTCTACTGCAATGCGAGCACGTAAACAAGTAACGTCTAGATCTAGTTTACTTTGTCTCTAGCTTGCAAAATGACCACAGCCTTCCCAGCAGGCCAAGCCCAAGGCCAGGTCCGGTCCCAGACCCAGACCGCGGAGAGCCTGAAGCGTCGGGCCCCAGAACAGGGCGCTTCCGAAGGGGACTGCAGTCTGCTAATTGAGCAGTCTTAAAATTAACGTTACACAGATCTAGAACTGATCGCGAAAAAGAGCAAATCTGTTAAATTAGCTGTTTGTTCACTTTTACATTGAATGACCCGGCCATAAATAAGTAAAAGAAGTGAACTAACCTTCAATCCTCGCGATTGCAACCGGCAACTTCTGGTTGAATTCAGTCGATCTACCGTAGACGTAACTTAGTAGTACATACGTACAAGGCCTGGCATGGCATGGCCGCCTGGCTATATACGCTATTACTGCATGCATTAAGCAGCGAGCGCGCTAGCGCCAGCGCGCGCAGTCTAGTCTAGCCTCGCGGGTTTTATGTTGTTAACCCGTGGACTACTGAATTCTACGGAGCCCGGGAAGGGACATGGTAAAAATATTTTTATCTCGTTAAAACGAGATAGTTATCTCGTTTTAATGAGATAGTATCTCGTTAAAACGACATAGTATCTCGTTTTAATGAGATAGTATCTCGTTAAAACGACATAGTATCTCGTTAAAACGAGATAGTTATCTCGTTTTAATGAGATAGTATCTCGTTAAAACGACATAGTATCTCGTTTTAATGAGATAGTATCTCGTTAAAACGACATAGTATCTCGTTAAAACGAGATAGTTATCTCGTTTTAATGAGATAGTATCTCGTTAAAACGACATAGTATCTCGTTTTAATGAGATAGTTATCTCGTTTTAATGAGATAGTATCTCGTATAAGTCCATTGCATACTGGAACCGGGTGGTCCCTGTATTAAGCCTATGGGAGTGAGAGAATTCAGTAGTCCACGGGTTAACAACATAATACCCGCGAGGCTAGACCAGGCCCCCCAAGCTCCGCCATTTTGTCCGGATCCATTAGAAGCCAAAATAAGTCCTTGCATAATTCATGAGCCCTATGAATTATGCATTCTGAAGGATGCTCCCCACGAAACGTGTACTGGAATGATGTTCACTACATGGTAAAAGACAACACGCGTATCAGCGTAATTAGAGAGGTCAAATAATCTACTGTACGGAATTATGGGTAATTTATTCATCACGCTGCGCGCCAGCAACGCAAGTGATTCAGCGAATCAGCGTAGATTATTCTGATGCGATCACCGTTAGGTGAAATACGCGCTCGAACTTGTATTATCGATCACCAGTATATATATAATATATGTAATATGTAATATTCGATATAACTAGGTTGATTGTAGTCTGTACTTTGTTCCAATATGTTATAAATTATAATATGTAATAGGGATTAATTCATTCAATATAATTGAGATTACTGTATTTTGTACTCTGTAATTGGTTTCAATATGTTATATATTACAATTTGTATGAATTAATATTATTTATTGAGTGAATACAATAAAGAATATTACAAAACAAAAAAAAATATAACAGCTGGTGTACCCAGAATGCATCGGGAAGTGGACCTCTCGTTGTTGTGTTGTTGTTGTTTTTAAATATGGGGGAGTGGCCTTAACTTCATTGAATAAGAAATACTGATCCGATCTTATTCCCTTTTTAGTCTATCAATAACTGGGTCTGTTTTTGTTTTATTAACTCAAACATGCTATAAGCCATATAACAACACATTCTCTGGCTATGATTATACATGTTAAATATGCTAATGTATAAAGTGTCCTTATTTTATACAAACAAATTATGTGGCAAAGAGGATGGTTTTTCTCCACCCACTCTCATCGTACCTTAATGATTCCCCTTCTCTCTCTTTCTCTGTCTTTCGTAAATTATCTTCTGCAACTAACGGTTTGTTGTCTTGACTGAACAATCTGTTGCAGTTCCTTTCTGTCTCACTTTCAGTCGTAATACCATTCATTTACATTTACTCGTTATCAACTACGATCAACCATTGATCCATATTCACTCCATTACTGTCCACATTTCACTTGGATTATCTTCACTTTTCCTTTTTGCAGCCTTTGCAGGAGCTTTGAACATTTTTAATGTAGAGACCAGAGAGATCGGAAAATATGTTAATCATTTTATTCGAATTGAAAACGGAAAGTGAAACATTGTTTTTCAATATCTTGACATATTTTTTGTTTAAAGACAATGGAATTTAACACTGGAAATTTTGAATTGGGGCGCCCCCCCCCCCTCCAAAAAAACAAAAAACAAAAAACAAAAAAACAGGAGTGGTACCAGGGTTAGTTAGTTGGGAGGCCCATGTCCTTTATAATTTTATTTTTAGGAATAGTTTTCTCTTTTTTATCAATTTGACATTGGTATACCGTTAATTTCACTGGGAAAACCACCCCTTCCCTTACACATCAATACTGTCATTACTTCTAGTAACAGTAATTCTATAATTCAAAACGTTTTCAATTTCTAAATCCTTCTAATATAAACATATAACAAATATAATATTGTTTACACTTTTGCAACCTGTTACATGGTCCATTTAGAAACAGCACCAGGAAGAGGATAACAAGCCCCCCCCCCCTGTTTTCTTAAGCTAGGAAGTATCAAAACATGATTCTATTAAAATTAGCAGTTTGGATACAACAGGTAATGATGATTAGCAGTTTCCATATTTAGTGCATTTAGAGGGTTGTCTTTCAAACCTTCTTACATACAATACTTGAAGCAGCAATAATGTAATAATCTACAAAACTTCAAATACAGAAGTCCATAGACTGAGGACAGGTAAATGAATTTCAACATGTATAATTATAATTATAAATATCATTGATTGATTCAATCTTTGATATAGACTGATAAATCTTTATCACTCAAATTTCAAGGAAATTTCTTTCTGCCCAGCACTCAGTTTCATCCTATAAGATGGTAGTTGACATTGTTAAAATTTCATTAATGTTTATTCATTGATGATTAGTTATCTTTAATTATTTGAAAGTTGACAAGATGATAAATTCATTAGCTTTGTTTAAATGTGGTATTCTACAAACATATAATACAAATAATAAATAAATAGTATGTAAATATTCAAGATTAAACCCATCTCTACTGTCCTCTTTCATTATATGAGGGGGCATCTTTAAAACGTAGTCCCATGTAGATGTCTTCTGCATTCAACGATGAAGTTGTAGGCTAGTTTTCAGAAGAAAGGGCTGTGATGATAACCCAAGTCTGTTGAATGGAAAAATGAAATAAGATACAGTGTATAAGAAAATAAACAACAACTAATAACATACACCCTGATACCTGCTCTGACAAAAAGAGGAAGGACTAATATTCACTTGGGGTTCTAGTGGGAAAACCTAAACTTTTTTCCTACAAAACTAGTTACTGACCACATGTTAGATTATTCCTGATGATCCCATTAAGACAATAGGCCTGATGGAGCTTGGATCAGACAAGTATGAAATAAGTAATACTGGTACATGTACAATGTACTTGTAATGTAAACTTGTGGTCATAAATAAATAATACTCGGTTTACATAAAATGACCAAACAACTTGGAACAGAGAATGTACAGGAAATAATGCTATTGAAACATACGTTATGTAGACTTATATTTCATGTATATTGACATTTTAGTTTTAATCTAAATCACAATTGTGATATTCAGTCAAGTATTCTTTTACAAGTCAATGGACAATGAAAAATATAACTGTCAGATCTATAACTTTCTGCATGATAAATGTGTCCTACAATAGTTTATTGGGGGTACCTACATGGTATATTAGCACACTTGCTTGTATGAAGTGCAGTAGGCCCACATCTCTAGATATGATTCTGTCAATATCTGTTCTTTATTCCTCTCCTGGGTTTGTAATCAGCATGCTTTCATCATCCCCTGTAGAGAAGCATCATCCTACATAAGAGAAAGCAATGTAGGTACTTCAATTAAAAAGTGATAATAATAGATACATATCAACCATAACTCATCGTATAAACAGACTTTCGTTAATCTTATGTTGTGTTCTTCTTCATCTTCATTGCTCAAGAAGTGAAAGGACCACTTACAAAAAAAAAGTAATGAGTGGTCCTGTGTATACCCTACATGTATGATCATTATCATTATTATGTAGTGCTTTGAATGTGCATTAGACATCGTTCTTCTACACACAGGACCTCCTGTAAATAAGGACAAATCCCTTTGTAAACAAAGAAAGGGAAGAACTAGAATAAAATATTCCCTCCACTATACACACTTGAAACATACACTTAGTTCCATTTCCTTTTTAGTGAATTAATAGGTGGTCGTTTAATATTTGTGTGCTAAATATCCTGAAAATTTTACCTGCATGGGACTTTCAGCTTCATCTTGAAAATATAAGAAATGTTGTAATGTCTACTCATCAGTTAGCTCCTTCCAGCTCTTCATCAGTTTCCATCTGTTGGAACAAAAAGAAAACAAAATCAATACGACAATCAAGGCGTCCCTTTCTCCTTAACAAAATAAAAATAGATCTAGCATAAAAGCTATTTTTCACGTCAGGGTTGGCCTTAATTTTAATAAAGTGTGGAAATCAACATTCCAATTTAATGGACCACAGTACAAAGTAAAATCAAATGGAAGATTTAACTTGTGCCTCAAAAAGTGCTTCATATGGCCTATACATATAAAGTAGTCTCAAGTAGAATTGGTTTATTAAGACAAGAAGAAGTGGACTTCATAAGTAAACATAATTGTGGAAAAGGGGTCTTCTCTTACACAAATAGATTTATCAACATGATCTGCACAATTCAAAGAAAAAAATCTCTAATAATATATTAAAAGTAATAACAGGAGTCAGAAGCGTACGCAGGGGGGGGGGGGGTAAACCCCCCTACCTTCATTTTTTTTTATGTGTATGTTTTTCTGGAACCCCCCCCCCCCCTTTTTTTAGAGTTGGTTTTTTTTTTGTTTTTTTTGTTTTTTTTAATACAAAAAAAAATCCAAAAGGATGACCTAAACCCCCCCCCCCCCCCATGCTTATTCAGTGGCTGGCTGAGTCGTTGCGAAATTTTTGGTCCGATTTCAAAATGTTAACCCCCCCCCCCCCCCCCTCCCCCTTGAAAAAATCCTGCGTACGCCACTGATAGGGGTCTAGATCTAGATCTAGTAGACTCTAGTAAGGTCAAGGTCTAAACTCTAATGATAACTTGACAAGCATGCTGGACCCACACAAAATCTAATTATTAAATAAACAAATCCTAGTGTTGATGTTTTTTGAATACTTTTTATTAATAAGTTCCAGGTTTCAAGTTACATCTAAATGAAATAGGATTTCGAGTTGTTTGATTATCAATGGTCACAGATAATTTTGGTCTATATAAAGTTGACACGGATGCAACTGAGCGAACGGATGGCACTGATAAGTAAAGCCATCAGAGTCAACATCTATGATCTACTAAAGATTTTAACAAGAATTAATCCACTTGGATTATCAAAAAAATCATGCTTCAGAGATTATTGTAAGGTGTAACGTTAAATCTATATTTAAATTAAATCGATGATTGGTGAATTAGATACATGATGACGATCAAATCTCAAATAAAACTTGATTAGAAAGTTTGATCTTGATGCAGATGAGCACCGAAATTCCCGGGGTGGGCCTGGCGGAACGGCCGGGCCCCTAACTGGAGTACTAGGGTGAAATGACGGCAAACCGCAGTCAAACTACTTCATGACGATGAAAATCAAAGTTCAATTTCAAGAGCAATAATTTCCTAGTCTTTTCACCAAAAATCTGTTGAGAACGGTCTCACAATGTAACGAAATTACCGTAGATCACAAAGACTATTGCAGCTTTTTCAAAATTGATGACTAAATTCACTTAATCTACTCATATTTCAATCAATTACTCACCCATTCTCAATGAACTAAATCTTCTCAGTTTGTGCGAGTATACGTACAAGGCCTGGCATGGCATGGCCGCCTGGCATACGCTATTACTGCATTATAAGCAGCGAGCGCGCTAGCGCCAGCGCGCGCAGTCTAGTCTAGCCTCGCGGGTATTATGTTGTTAACCCGTGGACTACTGAATTCTCTCACTCCCATAGGCTTAATACAGGGACCACCCGGTTCCAGTATGCAATGGACTTATACGAGATACTATCTCATTAAAACGAGATAACTATCTCATTAAAACGAGATACTATGTCGTTTTAACGAGATACTATCTCATTAAAACGAGATAACTATCTCGTTTTAACGAGATACTATGTCGTTTTAACGAGATACTATCTCATTAAAACGAGATACTATGTCGTTTTAACGAGATACTATCTCATTAAAACGAGATAACTATCTCGTTTTAACGAGATAAAAATATTTTTACCATGTCCCTTCCCGGGCTCCGTAGAATTCTCTCACTCCCATAGGCTTAATACAGGGACCACCCGGTTCCAGTATGCAATGGACTTATACGAGATACTATCTCATTAAAACGAGATACTATCTCATTAAAACGAGATAACTATCTCGTTTTAACGAGATACTATGTCGTTTTAACGAGATACTATGTCGTTTTAACGAGATACTATGTCGTTTTAACGAGATACTATCTCATTAAAACGAGATAACTATCTCGTTTTAACGAGATAAAAATATTTTTACCATGTCCCTTCCCGGGCTCCGTAATTAATACATCTTTAAATGGCAAATAATCTGAAAAAAATTAAATATTGCTTATATTTTGAAATAGCGCCCTCTTAATTTTCGAAAATGAATATTTTTTTTAATTTTTGTAACTCAATAGTTATTAACCAATCCGTCACCATTTTCAGATGTAATTAGGTCATGATATGCGGTTTCTACGAGAGAAAAAAAAGGAATTTGGAAAGGTATATGCAGCGCAAATACTTCAAAAAGGGCGTCGAAGATGGAGTTCTTTGCTGAAATTTAAATCAGGTTTTAAAAAAGGAACTCTCATTTTATCGATTTTTTTTAAATGTGAAAAATATATTTCCGTCCACTCAATCTTTATTAGAAATTGCGTGCAAGCCATGAGCGACGTGGCGGTTATGGCTGTTTTTGTACGGCTTACATCGAAATGGTGCGTTGCGGCGCGGTGTGGTGAGTTCAACGCACCGATTCGAGAAAAGCCCCACCGCTTTTCTCGAAAGGGTGCGTTGAGAACGGAGTACTGTCTTAAACACACCCTTTCAGGGCCTATCTCACTGAGCGGCGAATGCTTGCGAACGTAGCGAATTTGGGGGTTTCGCCAGAGTTTGTAAAATGTTGTAAAAGGTTGCAAGAAAGATCGCAAACAGTTTTCTTTGTTGTAAACAGTTTTTCTTGTCGCAAAGAAATTTTGAACATGTTCAAAATTTCTTTGCGAATTTATTTTTCCGCAAACAGTTGCAGGCGTTTGCAAAACAGTCGTTAGAGTTGGCAAAACAGTCGTAAGCCTTTGCAAATGGTTGTTAAACGGTTTTGCTCTTTGTTTTCGTCAGTTCTCTGTGTTTCGCCAAAGCTAGCGACCACGTTACCATATGGTTCCTTTATAAAATCGACCCATTGAGTACCAGTAGTTAGCAAAAGGTCTCAAACGTTCACAAATAGTGGCAAAGGATTGGCAAATAGTTGCTAATCTTCGCAAAAGTTGTCGCTAACATTTGTTTACAGTCGCTAATAGTCGCCAACTGCCTTTCGCAAACACTTTCGGAGACATTCGCTCAAATGTTGCTAATTGTCGCTAAACGTCACTTAATGTCGCTGATTTTCACCATTCGTCAGAAAAGTTGGCGAATCCAAATTCGCAACGTTCGCAAGCATTCGCTGCTCAGTGACGGGATAAGCGCAGGTCTTTTCTCGAAAGGGTGCGTCGACTAGTCTTTCACATCAGTCGTTAAAATGTTAAAGGAATAGAAATGTCGTTTTATAAATTGAAATAATCAAAATTGAAACTAATTTTTACGTAGTCTTGCAGATCAGGCGTTTATAAGAATTAAATCAGTCCAGGTGACACCTTTAACATATTTAACAAGATGAAGGTACATGGCTAGAGGGAAAGGGGAGAAATAAAAAAAAGGTGATTCATTCAGAAGTACCAAAAGTGGATTTAGCTCCTTTTGGAATGAAACCGATTTGGATTTAACTCCTTTTGGAATGAAACATGATATTGTACCTAAAAAAAAACATACTTCCTGTTGAAATCTTAATATGTGATATAGTGCATTTTGTCCCCATGTAGGAAATCATTATTTTAAGACAAAAATCTCAATTTTGATAAACCATGGACTTAGCTCCTTTTGGAATAAAGCTCTTCATAAACTAAATACGATGAAACAAATCAAAAACTAAATACATGAAATAAATAATTATGCAAAGTATGCAGGATGGATTCAGAATGTGAGCGTAATACAGCAATAATAACATTTGTGTAAATGCATATAACTTTCTTGACACACCACTTTAAAAACCCCACTGTTCGTGAAGCACGTGTAATGTCCGTCATGTTCATTATTAAAGCACGTGCTCTACACAATGTTTCACGACACATGCATTTTCTAATTGCGTCTTTAGTACGCCGAACACAATGGCCCGAATTCACAAAGCAAGGTTTGAGCTCAGACCAAGGTTTGAGCTCAAACCTCCTTTTGTTTCGCCAAACCTCCTTTTGTTCTTTACAAACCAGGTTTGTAAAAAAACGCGTAAAACGCGTCATATGACGTACGAAAACCAAGGTTTGTCGACAAACCTCCTTTGTGAATTCGGGCCCATACGTCCAAAATCTGCCTCCTGCTGAAAAAGGAATTTATCAGGATCTTTATTAATGCAGAGAGGTGGAAGTCCACTATTTAGGAGTGATAGAAGGGATCACTCCGTATTGGAGTTGAATCCATCCAAAAGAAATGGTTCGAGTCAAATTTCGAGAGTGGATTCCACTTTTTTAACCTATAGTTTTCTCTCTCTCTCTCAAAAAAAAGAGAAGAGATCACCAATTCTCTTATTATTATTCCTGAAATAGAGGAACTCCACTACTGTCCACCCAGGGAGGTGTAATTATGTGCTGAATATTAATGTAGATCCTATCATGTTTGACATCGTGACGATCCGTGAAACGCATTAATTTGAGAGCACGTGCATATTTATATTTTATTGGGTTCTTGTAATAATAGCGCTCATATCTGTCAGACTTGACACTCCTGGCGCTCCCGATTATCCAAAACGGCGCTTTAGCATTTCAAGGAATTAATTCCTGTTGTTACTCATCTTGTAATATACTTTATTCAAAGAGTTGATACTTTCTAATTCTTTACTCAGCATATCTCATATATTTGCCCAAAGACTTGACAAATAGAGTCAGAACGTTCGCAGAGACGAGTAATACCAACAACTGCCACCTCGTTGGAAAAAACATGACGCTTGGTAGACGAAAATTGTCCGCCAAAATGAGCTAGTAGGACAAAATCTACAAATGAGAAAAAGATTGGACTTTAATGTTCGCGTGCTTTATCATTAAAATTACATCTTTGTGAATCGTTAACCTTTTAGCAAAACACGTAGACAAGACAGAAATACACATTTTCGCGTCATGTTCGTGTTGATCACAATTTGACAGGTAAACTAATGTAAATGGAGTCAAAATTTGATCACAACGCTAACTCATTTTCTCAGGTAATGATCATTAGAGCTAGGAAAGTCGTATATTTGTAATCATGCTTTTCACAATTATTATCTCTTCACCCAATCTCGCCGATCCAATTTCCCTCAATAGAGAAGAATGTATAGACGTTTTAGTTTAAAAACATTAAAATGTTATACTTTTCGTTCGGGAGGTACAACTTCAGCCACAAATTCATTCTCGATATTAAAGTTTTCTTATGTCATGTAGATGTGATACAAAGATTGTACTACGAGCCTTTTAATTAAACTTTTAAACACACACAAAGTTTTTCCTAAATAAAAATACATGGTTATAACTCTGGCTCTTATCATACCCTAACTCTGACCATAAGCACTGACTAAATCTTGTCCTTAACCCTGACCTGACTCTGACCCTGACCTTAACCTTCACCCTGACCCTCATACGGACCCTGACCCTGACCCAGTGGACTGCTACGTGTGACGTCGTTTTAAGGCACTGTCAGTGCCTTATAAAGATGTCACACGTAGCAGTCCACTATGTCGACGTGCAAATATAAAAGTCTCTAATGAAACAAGAATATGACCTTGTACTGGGGAAGCCCTTTGAATGCCTTCAAGAGGTCCTCCTACGCAACTCACAACATATTAGAAACAACAGTTTATTTACAGGGTACTTTCATAAGGGTGAGATGAAAGCACTCAATAAATTATCGCTTTCACTATTGACCTTGGATATGCATTAACTCCCGTGGCGGATCTAAGTGAATTAATTTTTTTAATTATTAAAATAAATGAATGAAAGAAGGCAGATCTCGTATTAAGTTACGTAAAATATGCAACACGACTTTTACCAGATTTCTGTTTTCACATTTTATTAAATTGAAAGGAATTGAATTGGTTTATAAAACAACAATAAATGACCTACAGCTCAAGGCTGCTAGTTACTGTTTTTATAAAGTAATCAAATATAACAAAACAACAATGGTAACATCTCACAGCAATATTATATAACATTTAGAAAGATATATCACAAATGTGGATAAAGTAGTTATCAAAATGATTTAGGCAATGTCATTAGATATTCAAGGATAAAATCAATTCAGCGTGTTCAGGAATATAAGGCTTATTGCACACAAATTTCACTTCAGACAAACAATTTTAGTGGAGTAAGTTAGGGAATGATGACACTTATGTAACACAAAAATGTGGAGCACCATCGACAATGGGTAATGAAAGAAATGAAATCCGATCGCAAACAAAACCAAAGCAGTCCCGTAAAATCAACCCCCATCCCTTAATGCGAATTGATGTCCTATCTCTCTTATAGTATTTTAAATAGTATTTAAATGTTTTGATCGTGAACATTGTAATATTTATGGGCTATCCCATACTAGCAAAACATGGGATAGCCCATAAACATTACAATTTTCACGAACAAACAAACCTTATTTTGGAAGGTTTTATAAGCTGAACGTTGAACTTTATTCGATGAAATATCTCCGTTGAAATATGTGCAGAACTATGAATGTTACAGAGTCTTATATTTTTGCTAGATTTTCTGATGTGCATTTTATGCAGGAAACTCACAAACTTCTCCGACCTACAGTATGGATTGCCCATCACTCAAGCCGAGTATCCTCTTTTGACAAGACTGTAAGTATATACTGAACGCCTTCGTTACTCGCCGTTTTGCACCTAGATTTTGAGTTTTACTTCGATTAATTTAGACATACTGATTCTGTGAACTACACAGAGCTTCTCTATACCGATATAACATAATACATGTACTACCTATGAATGTACAGACATCATATTCAAGGAAAGTATTATTAATTTTGTGAGAAGACAAGGCACAAAAACACCATTATTTAATCAACAACAAACCACAGCCAATCAAGAGTGATAGTTACGTCACCGGAAGTTACTTCTGATTGTTTAGTAATTTCTTGCCTCAAAACTGTCTCTTAATAGTTTATTACACTTTTTTCATTCAAGTTCATATTCCAAGCATTCGAATTCGCGCAAGTCGCACTCGCAGCGTTGAATCAGCTTTCAAATTCAAAATCCGTTCATTCAAATTCACTTTCCGTGTAATCAATTGTTCAATCGGGTCATTCAAATGTTAACTAAAAGCGTACATTTTGTGAAAAGAGCATTCAGATTCATCCACTGCCGGCTACGGTACTCAGTGGTCATTCAAATTCGTGAATGAGCAAGCATGTTTGAAATAGGTGTATTCAATTTCCAAGGTTTTGTTTGTTTTGTGGTGGACTCGGGTGCACATTATGTCTGAGTATTATGAAATTGTGCATAATTATTAGAAAGGTAACAATCCTTTTAAATATATTTTAATATTACCTCAGCAATTGCCAGGAACGCATTCAATTTATAGCTGGGTAGACGCGAGTGCCGGGCTGGGGTTCGAACCTTTAACCTTTGGTTGAGAGCCAATATATACCATTTTGTAGTTAGCACATGGGTCAAATGACCCCAAATAACCACAGATCTTTTACTCATGGAGAGGTCCCACTTTGTGTATTTTAGAATAATAAATGCCAAAGTTATGTATGTCCTTCATGCAAAGCTTTTGTTTGCCCTCTTGTATCATAAGAATGTACCGTAGGTGCACACATGAATAATAGGGACTTTTAGATTTGCACGAAGACAATGGGGATTGCTACGATCGACGTCCTTTTAATGCACTGCCTTGAATGGACGTCACACGAATCAGTCCACTCAAATCTGAAAGTCCCTACTGATTACATAACATTAGCACGTATTCCTGTCGGTGGGTTTGACAATTTTATCAGAAATTACCTTTATCTGCCCATGCGCAGGTAGTATTTACGAAAAGGCTAATTGAATGAACCACGGCACCTTATATAATTATTTTCATTAATTCACATTCTTAACTACACGTATCGATGTATCAGTGATTATAATTTTGTTCTATTCTATGCTTCTTAACAGACTTTTATCCGGGAATGGTATATCTGCCATCGGGCAACGTGTGTTCAAAAACATGACATCTTTACGAACTTTGTGAGTATACTATGCCTTGTATTATGCTTTTTAAGTATCATCCATTTTAATTTAAATAGCCAATCCAAATTTTCAAAATGATGAGAATAAGAAAGAAAGGAATAATTTTTTTTTCTTCTATTGTTTTGTCAACTCATTTCGTGATGAGTTTAAGAGTATTTTACGGGACGAACTTTGTAATGTAAACAACTTAATGTAATTTTCCTTCTGTTTTCTATAAACACTGCATTGTAAATTGATTTATACGGTATATATGTTTACAAACAGAATTGTCGATTTGTTACATTACATTGTAAATTGATTTATGTGATATATATGTTTCCAAACAGAATATTTATTTCTTACATTACATTGTAAATTGATTTATATGTTTATAAACAGAATGTTGATGTACATCAATGAAGTTTAATAAATACAGTACAATACAATACACGATACCGTCATTCCCATTTAAACATGTGTTAAAATCAAAATTAAAATGTGTTTCGATGGAATGTCCGCGAACTTGTCCTTGTTTTATGAATCGACGTCTTCTTTTTTTGGACACCTTATACACTTTACTATTTTCATTTCTCTTTCGAGCAGAGACCTGTCAGGGAATAAGATAACCACTTTAGCCAGAGGATCTTTCCAAGGCATGCCAAGACTTCATCACTTGTAAGTGAGATTAGTTTAAACTAATGTCATTTTCAAAGCATTATTCTACATTTATCACTCTCCATCGAGGTGCAGTAAATGGGTAGGGCCTACCCAGTAGGAATAGATTTTGTGAATGCTCGAGGGCCTTTTCATGGTTGGTCTGCTGAAGAAGGAGTTATGCTATGATTGCAGGGCCTTCAGGAATCACAACAATTATTAACACTGATTCCACCCCAAAATATTGTTCTTATTACTTTCACTTTATTTTATACATTCATTTATCAACATTTCTCCTATTTATATCAACAAACAAGTGTTGAATGAATAAATGTAATTTGCCGTAGAAGTAGTCAAGACCAGCTGTTTTCCTCATCTCTTCGTGCAGTTCTAATCCGATTTCACGATCATGATACATAGGATCTATTCTTGAATAATAGGAATTCCACCATGTCTAACGACATTAATGAACCCCGTTGAACTTTGTTGTTGTAAATTTACAAAACTATGACTACAAAGTCGAAAAAAGACAAATGCAATTAAGTAGCATTAATACTGTAATTTAATATTACACATGATAAATGCCTTACGTTAAATTGTACAAGATTTAAAAACAAAATGCATAAATCCGCAACATTAATAAAGCCGGAAATGATGAGCAAAAAAGAAATGTTTATAGATGTCATTATTTTTTTTTTAATACCGTTGATATAGGTGTTTAGGTAATTTGGAATGCGCGGTTATGATTTTGAGAGGGCCTCAAGTCTCAAACCACTGAAAATGCCCAGTTCGTGTGGGTTAACAATTCCTTAGATCAAGAAAATAACTTTTCTTTGAAAGCGGATAACCTTCTCGAGATTGTCCTTTATTTTGCAATAAGGAAAATGAAGAAAGCAGTTATAGATGTGCAATTTTGGTATAAAAGTAATTTGATTGAATTAGATTAATATGATTTAGTTTTTTTAAAACCTTTTAGTTAATTCATTATTTAAAACAAACCAGTTGAACAATCCATTTTCAAAACATCATATATTTATCATCTTAGAAAGATTCTTTTAAAGTACATATCGATTCGTAGTACATGTAAATTCGTTCTTTTCATTTTATGAGATGTCATGACAATTGCAATTCGAATTTTGTTTTATCGTTGGTTTAAAATTGCATAGTGCCTTTTAATTTCTCCTTCCCGAAAATATTCTTTATCTTTTATCCTGATTTCATTTTGCTGCATATCATACGTTTATATCTGTATAAAATAGCGCGATATCATAGAGTCCCTTCGTCCTTTTTGCTCATGTTTTTACATCAAGACTGTTACAAAATTATTTGAATGGTGACGATAATCATGTAGACATTGTTTTTCATTCATTTTTTGTTGGATTTCTGTTGCAACCTGCGTCCAATTCAACTCGAGGGACCTATGGAATGCAAAATGTTCCGCGAAGATTCAAAATACTTATTCTTACTACAAACCGTGCTAAACTCATCAGGCAAGGGACGGTACTAAGAAAAAAAAAATTATCAAAGACCATTATAAATCATGCTTTAAACATTTATTTCATCATTTCTGGTCCAGAAACCTACCTACGGTGTAGCAATTTGAATACCGCATCCTTACTGTGCTTAAAAAACAACAACACATTTTTTTTCTTTATCGTTCGTTATGAATTTACGCCATATTTAAAAACAGACAAAAACCCTAACCTTGTTCTCAGGAATGCAATCAATATATATTTACCTGGTGGTGGAAAACCCCTCTAATGCACTCATAGTAGTGACTTGTGGCATTGCTTCGAATTAGATATGAATGAATTCATAAACCATTTTCCTGACATTTCATTATTTTTTCCAATCCAGGTTTCTCACCAGGAATGCGATCGGTGTGGTGCACAAGCATTATTTTAGTTCCTTGAAAAATCTTGTTTGGTTGTAAGTAATTTGTTAGTCTTTGATTTTGTTCATTTCATGTTTCTTATTGCCTCTTTGTTTGGTCATTTTACTTTCAGTACTTATTCTAGTTAATATACAGCAAAGAAGTGACAAATACAATCATTTTTACATCCCAATGCACACGAGGCGTTATTTTCGTGACGTAGGGCAGCGTCAGTGACTCGCATGGTCTTTGACGCTCCATTTGAGAACGATATCGTATATAAAGTGAATACAAAGTGACCAGTGTTAACGTTGAGTTGATTTTCTGGCGCATGCATAAAACGTACCTTTGTAGTCTAGCCTTTTTAGCGCAGGTAATGGCGCAGGTAATGGCGTAACTTTCAATTAATTAGCGCATGAATATGCGATGTTCATTGCTTAAGGGGATAAATGGTGATTCTATTCTATTTTAATTGTTTGCACTTCTTTCTTGGTTATGTTCTTGTATGTGCATTTCTTATAGATGTATTTTCATGACAATATTTATTTTCCTTTGCATCATGTAGGTTTATTTGCGGTATTTGGTGGATTTGTAATGTGTAGTGGCGATGTTTCACTTTTATCAGTTTTTTTTTTCTTCATATTTTTCCCTCGATCCACAGGGATTTTATTGATTTTCATTTGAAACACATACAAAAATATATATTCAAGGTAATTTACATAATAACATAAATTAACATAACATAAAGTATTGTTGAGCTGTTGAATTAACAGAAAACTAACAAATCAATAATTCATTTCTAACACTCATGGAAAGAAAAAAAAAAATACAGAAAAAATATCATTTTAAGTAAACAAATTCCTGAATTGAAACCATTTTCTTGTGAATTTATTATTTCTACAATTCGAATTTGCAATATACTTTTCGTTTTTGAAGTAATTTATAATCTTTATTTTGCAAGTATACTTTTATCAGTTAATATAACATTGAATAACATGTATTTTGCTTCACATTACTATATTCTATATCTCGATATATATATTTTCCAGTTATTTTCTAAAGCATTATGATGTATTTCTATTATCTTTACGACTGACAATTACTATAATTAAAGAAGGATAATTTTAAGAATGAATTTTGTATATGCTTTACACTAACTCCGGAAGGAAATTTAAAAAAATATATTTTGCACTGAACAAATAATTTGGAAACTTGAAAATTTACCTTCCTATATCTGCTCTAGATATATATAGTTTTGAAAGTGACATTTAAAGAATGAATGCATTGATGATTGAAATAGAAGTTTAATTGTGTCTGTATTTCTTTGCTTTTTTAATACGTTTTGCAAATGCACGTTTTTTCGAACTTCCTCTGAAATAGTTCCCCGATATTCTCCCCAGATATTTTTTGTATTCAGTTTTCTCTAAAGATTTTATTCCTCTTTAACTTATATGTATATCTTTCGAAATGAATAATATCATCTGATGATACATATCACAATGATTTTGATTTACAGAGACCTCGGTTATAATAAGTTAGAATCACTAAGTTCGGGAACATTCCAGGATCTGGGAAACATAACGGACCTGTAAGTGTTTCTCGATATGAACAAGTTTATTTTAATATAGTTCACGTCGTCTTAAAATGTCATTTTTATGAAGCAAAATTTATGTGCATTATCTAAACAAAATGTATCGTTATCATTTTTACATATCTCATAATTTGTGTATAAAACAATGTTTGTCATAAATCTTGCCAATTTCAAGTCGTCTCCTAAAGTTTCAAACAACAAAATCTGATTCACTTTCTTCCAAAAACATACTTTCTTAGCCAAAAAATATTGTATAACATTATTGTTCAAGATGCTTTTATAAGTTAAAGGCTAATGATAAGCGTGTACCCCATTCTTGTAGCCCCTCAAAAAAACTGGCTGAGGGAAATTGATAAGTTCAGTAATCTATTTGATTCAATGAATTCGATGAAGATACTTAATGATTTACAGGAAATGCATGTACAATTTGCTTTTAAGTAAATACAGATATATAATTTTTTAAATTATAAATTCGATATGTTGTTTAGTCAATGAATCCACTTACTTATTATGTAATTTACAATCTATTCTTCCTCTAGACCGTCACACCTCTACCTCTATATTGTTGTTTCGTTTTCTCTCTTTTGTATCTTGTCCCTCCCTCCCTCCCTCCTCTTCAATTATCTTAATTTTTCTCCCCTTCATTGACTCTGATATAGATTTGTAAGGTATTTAGTTTTTGTGCTTTAACTCAATGCAATGCAATGCAATTTAGTCCTTGGGCTGTCATATTTTTTTTTAATGAATACCATTTCAGTTTAATTCAATTCAACTTCCATTTTGCCATTTGTATAATTTATGTGCATTTAATTCTTTTTTGAAAGGATACTTCGGAATAACTCTATCAGCATGATTGAGACTGGGGCATTCAGTGGACTCGACAAAATCACCGGCATGTAAGTCAATTGAATCTTACCCGCAATTTTATGCATCGCTTCATCTTTCTTCCAAAATGAAAATAAAAATGTCAGTCGTAAAATCGACAACGACATTTTACCGCAAATGTTTAATGGACGTCTCCTCCATAAACAATTATAATTCCCATTGTCGTTTGTATGTACTACGTTCATAATCTGCAATAATCACGCTCATAATGAATAACTCCATGAAATGATCCAGTCAAGTCATCGGGAAGGGCCATAACATTTCATGAACATTTTTTTCCGATATATCATTGTATATACATATAAATAAATATAATAAACCCTTATTCTTTATGTTTGAATGTAGATTGTAAAATACATATTCAATCATTTCAATTTACTATTCATTTATACATGAATATTCACTATACACCAAATCACTTTGTTTTGTTATTTACTTCATTAAATTATTTTAAGATGACTGAAGTAGATTCATGGTATTAGCAGTTTCGTTTTTTTTCTTAATGACAGATCTTTTACGGACAACAAGCTAACCGAACTCCGTAAAGGAATGCTCGATGGACTTTCTAATGTGTATTGGATGTGAGTTTACATTATCTTTTTAAAAACCCAAGCTCATTGCAAATTTTCCCCCAAAATATATGAGCTTTGTCATCTCTTTCTCTATCCCTAAATGCCATGAACTTTAGACTTTTTTCTTCAACCTTGAAAGTAATCAGCGTATGTTCATGTGGTATGCATTTATATTAGGTAGAGCATCCGCCGGGGATCTACGTTGGGGGGGGGGGGGGGGGGGTTAGGGGGTTAGAACCCCCTTCCTTGGGCTGCCAAGTGAAACGCGATATATATACTTATATACTTATTATATATATATATTTTTTTTTTTTTTACTTATTAATGATTTAATTTATCCATGTGTTTTTTTACCTTGTTATTTTTTATTGTTATGCATTTTATATTGTAAACTGACTTGTTTAGTCTTCGGAATTTTTAATAAGTACTTGAATAAAACCAAATATCTATCTATCTATCTACCCACACAGTATTAGTAGATGTTAGTAGATGCCAGGAAAACATCACTTAAGGGGGTTCAAAATAGCAACAACCAAAAAAATGTTGTTAACTAGAAGAAAAAAAATGGAAACTTTGATCAATGTATGTTACCACAATATCCATTGTGAGCAAAATTACAGTAGAATTTCTGTTTGAATTTTGCAACTGGCGTTTTTTAATTCACCCCATTCGTTGTGTACACAACGAGGGATTCAGTTTTCACTCAAAGAGAGAAACCGCACTCATCCTCCCGCTACACATACATTTTGGGGGTTTGCAAATCCCTCATAGGGGCTTTGAGTTACAATGGAATTACAATTAGAATTTATGTGCAATTGGCAATGGAGGCAGAGAGTAAAATAGCCTACACAGAACATTAAATCTCACAATCAGAAAAAAAAACTCCCACATAATCCAGCAAAATCTGAAACCCAATCTGGTATTTTTGAAATACACAAAAGGAAGAAAAATCTTACTTGTGAGAGATTATTCTGAATGGTTACCCTACCCTGGATCCGGCCCTGTCGATAACAGACCATACTATCTTATAAAAATAGACTTTTTATCATATCCAACATTGTGATAATTATTATTAGTTGTATGAGTTTTAGTTTGGTTATTGGTATTGTTATAGCTATTATGATATTAATATCATCATTTTTATTTGTAGTAGTGTTAGTAGTAGTAGTATCATTATTATTGTTATTACTGTTGTTGTTATTGTCTTTTCTTTTTCTTCTTCAGATCATTCCGACGTAACCCATTGTCGTATATCGAGCCTGGCACTTTTGACCACACGACGAAAATCGAAACCTTGTAAGTAAAAAGCGAGAGACCGTCTTTTATAGACCGCGATACAAACTTATCCCAAATGCACTGCCGAGAGTTTGTGGGCTGTTTTTACGGAAAGTGCATGCTTTCACCTGAAACCATGGCCCTGCTTCATAAAACTTCATTTTAATAACAAACGCTAATTTCTATGATGAATTTGCTCCAGCTAATCAAATGCAATGATATCAGTGGCTTATAAAAGTCACTGTAACTTGTTATTGATAACAGGCTTTAAGAAAAGGGGTCCTCGGTCCCGTGTTATAAAGAGTTGCGATTGATCCAAATCAATCGCAAGCCCTCCAATCAATCGCGAGCTACAGTCTCCTAGCTATCTTTTATGTACAGAGTTGCGATCAATATTAATCGCGAAGAAGTTGTAATTTATCGTAACTGTTTATAAGACGGGGCCCTATAATCGAAAAAATATTATCATGCTAATTATGCTCATTATCACTTTTCCTAATACCCCAACTCAACCTTCTCATAAATTGTTCCCTACTAATCGTTAATCAGCTATCTAAAATTTTGCAGGGGCTAAAGAAAAAACAATACATAGGGAATTAAAAATCGACTCGTTTCATGACCGAATCAAACTCTTACGTGTAACCATAATGAATGTCATATCCTTTTTTTGTCGAAACCGAAGTTGTTTAATTTCTCTTTTCTTGAAGTTACCACAATTAATATTTCACTTTTACCACATTTTGTGATATGAATCACCATCTTTCTTCCAGCTCATATAGGCGCAGTTCCATCTTACAGTGGCATTTAATAATCTTTTGATCAAGAAGGATACTATGATTTACATTAATACAAAAGCAGAAAAAGGAAAAGACACTTGCGGTTATGGTTTTGCATTACATCACGCAGTTCACGAAGAACAATTCGATGAAACATTGCCCAAAGAAATATTCCTTAAATCCTAGTGGAATTCATCAGTGTTAAGTTGGCTTCTTTAGTTACTTATTTTAAGGTTCATTTGATGTTGTATTTAGGAGTGAAGCAAAATGTAGTTGTTGTTGTTGTTGTTCGTTTGGTATTATAATGGCTATTAGTCAAATTTGACTATTGTTGCCAATTTCATCGCATCTCTTTCTTTTAATGTCTTGGTAAAATTATTATTTCTTTCTTTCTTTTTCCAATCTCATTTTAATATAATATTAGTCATAGTCTACAAAAAAATAAAAACAAAAAATTATTTCAAATTAAACCACGATCCGCACACAGTTCCAACTCACGCTGGCCCTGTCCTTTCTATGATGCCTTCTTACCAGCCCAGCGAGTTATGTTACGCCGTACGCTTCTCGGTTGATAAACTCAACCTAGGTCACTCTGGCATAGACAAGGGGGCGTCGTGTACCTGTATGTTTAGAGGGTTTATTTATTTATTAGGAGAAAGACAACTGCATAAGCAAAACACTTGTGGGCTTTATTAGTTTATATGAGTTAGTTCATGAAATTATTTATATAGCGCATGACTTTTAACTACTATAATCATTGGGGGGTGACATGCTTTCGAGTAATGATATAGCAAGTTTTAATTGCTTTTTTTCTTTTCCCCAGCAGATTTCATGTATCCTTCTCTCTCTCTCTCCTCTCCACTTCCCTAAAGTTGTGTGTATGTATTAAGATATGTTTTTCGATTGGTCAAATAAATAATGTTAAATTGTTTCAATCATTATTTTTTTTTTTTTTAATTAAAAGAGGCCTAAATAAGATATATAGGTCTATACGATCAAAACTTCAAATAAGACACTAATACAGGTGTAGGCATAAGGTTATACACAAAAAACCTATTTTCTCTTCTATTCAGCTCAAATTGATTGCGGTTTCTGTTTTTCATCTCTTTTTGATTTTACTTTTTACATAATCGCTTCGTTCTAAAAACGAAGCGAGAAATTGCCATTTGTACATGAGAGTCACTGTTTCGTAAACATATCATAATGTCCTCTTCCTTGGAAATATTAACTTCTGACATTAACATGGCCCTTTCTATTATATACTTTGGACATTCTATCAAAAAATGTCTGACCGTTTCTAATGTTGGGCAGCTGTCACAGAAACCTGTGGAGTGGATGCCCAAACGCAAGAGGTCTTGGTTGAGTCCAGACACTCCCAGGCGTAGTCGCCTAAGAATAGTTTCAGTTTTTCTTCCCAATTTACAAGAATATTGTGAGATAACATTTGGCTGAAGGATTTTTAATGCCGATTGGGTATCATTCCACCTTTCTTGCCAAAGTAACTTTGAACTGTACAAAATTAAACTTGTCTTTTCAAATAAAGTCAATTTATTATGCATTTCAATTTCCTGAGTTAGAGCTTTTTTTGCGTAGAAGTCTGCCTTTTCATTTCCCACTATCCCACAGTGGCCTGGAATCCATTCCAAAGCGATTTCGATCCCTCTATATTTCAATCGGGTCGTTATTATAAATATTTCTGTGACAAAGGATTCGTCACTAAAATGTTTCAAGGCTGTGAGGGCACTTAAGCAGTCGCTAAAAATGACTGCACCTGTATAGATGTTTGTTTCTTCGATCCATTGAAGGGCAAGAACAATTGCAGCCAACTCGGCTCTATACGATGAGGTAAAATTCGCTAATCTTTTACATTGGTGTACAGAAAAGTGTGGGATATAGAAAGCAGCCGAGCATTGGCCCTTCTCCGGAAACTTAGATCCATCTGTATATATATGCAACTGGTTCGACCATTTTGTATTAATCAATTTTAAGCTTTGTTGCTGTAGTTGCTGTAGTTGTCTATTTGTATGGTGGCCCTGAAGGGACATCGCGAATCTTTGTGATTTTTCACAACAAAGATTCGCGATTTCACGATTCGCGATGTCCCTTCTGGGCCACCTTATTATGCATTATGTTCAGACCCGAGGAAAGTTATGATAGCCTAACTTGATGGCCTTGTTGTGGAGGTATACAAAAGTGAGGATAATTTTCTTTCCGTGCAAGTTTTCGTCCTCAAGAAACCTGATTTGAAATCTAAATTGTTTATTAAAAAAAGAGTTATTAAGTTATCAGTTTGTCTGCATTTCTACATTTCTGTTCTGCATTTCATCTATGTGCTTAAGGAAACAAGAATCATACAATTTGAGAACAAAATAGCTGCAATCCTATCAATCATTCGGCCGATATATATTATATATATATATATATATATATATATATATATATATATTTATGTCGTATTACGGTTTTAATGTTTAACCCTGCGGCTGAAACTGAATGTTGTCACGTATGTTTAATTTAAAAAACACAGAAAAAAGAGAAATAAAGCCATGAACAAGAATCAAACTGACGAATATGAATCGCTCGAATCTCGTATTATTTGTCTATTAGTATTGTCATTGTTTTATCTTCTATTTTGATATTACTTGAAGAGTGTTGGGGGAGGTCCATCTTACCCATCTTGAACCAGACATGTTCAGGGGACTCGGGAATATCCAACAGCTGTAAGTTATATCTTATTCTTAACCTTTTATTTGCTTTTATAGCGCCGAAAAGCACATTCGCTGGCATGCAAAAAAAAAACTTAAATACTATACTATCAAAACATTTATTCCACTTCCCATCACAGTCAATCCTTCTTTAGACTACATTAATTTGTCTATTTCCTTCGAAGAATTTTTTTAAATTATTAAAACATGTACTCAAAGAACGTGAAAAGAAAGACCACATGCCTTTATTAACCACTCGGACAGTCTTTTTCCTCCCTAATTCTCAGTAACGCTTTGTATCCTAATCTTTTACGAGGGAAGAAGTTTCAATTGGATAGGTGATAGCATTCGAATACATACAGACATTGCCTTATGCCGGTTGCATACGAGACATCGTTTCGACTTCCTTACTTGCGCTTATCAAGTGTATGAAAGTATCCTATAATTCAGCGCAATGTTTGCACTATTCATCTGCATTAGTTTGTTCGTAGTATGTCACTATCATATGGCGCTTCAAATACTGCACCACTCGTTCTAGCAGTCCTAGGAAATAACGACCCGTGTACAGCGGGCTTAATGCGAATAAACTCTTGGGTAACAAGTCAAGTGAACCGTTTTTGTTTAATCCCCAGCTCCACGGATGACTACCGTCTCTGCTGTCTCTTTGACAGTGCCTATACATGCTCAAAAGTTGATATTTCCTCACTAGACTCCTGCACCAGACTCATGCCTAACAGCGTCCTGCGAATCGCCTTGTGGGTGCTCGGGTTCGGCGCCCTCTTCGGCAATACCATGGTAATTTTCATCCGATGCCGCAATAAGCGATCGAACACGAGTAATCATCAGCAGGTTTTTTTCATCTCGAACTTAGCCATCGCTGATTGGTTCATGGGCATTTTCATGATCATTATAGCATCAGCCGATACCTATTACGGGGAATACTACTTCCTCAAAGCGCCGGAATGGAGAAGCTCGGGTCTGTGCAGGTTCGCAGGTGCCCTTGCCATCCTGTCAAGTGAGAGCTCCGTGTTTATGTTGACAATAATCACCGTCGATCGATTCCTGAATGTGGTGTTCCCGTTCAGCAGATTCAAATTCCACTCCGAGTCGGCGCGCGTTTGTGTCGTCATCACATGGGTCATCACAACCATCCTCAGCTTGGGGCCCGTCCTGATTGGGTCATTCGTGACTGGGTTCTACGGGCTATCCGACGTCTGCATCGGTCTGCCCCTGAGCGTGGATTCAACAGGGACGAGAACTCGAGTCTGGGATCGCATCGAGGGCATCTCTATCTTTCAGTCCAACAATGATGGGAGCCTTCAGCCATCTTGGATCTATTCCATAGTACTTTTCCTGGGTATCAACCTCATCTGCTTCTTATTCATCCTCATCTGTTACATCATCATTTTCGTCCAGGTGAGGAGATCGGCAAACAGCATCGGGAAGGACCGCAACACGGGATCCCCGCACGACCAGGAGGTGAGAATGGCCTTCAAGATGGCCATCATCATCGGCACTGATTTCTTGTGCTGGATGCCAGTCATCATCATGGGGATCCTCTCTCAGACCGGGCGGGTCGAGCTCCCCGTCTCTCTCTACGCCTGGTCGGCCGTCTTCATCTTGCCCATCAACTCTACCTTGAATCCTTACCTCTACACATTCACGGAGTTCATCGGTCAAAAGAAGAAGAGGGCTAATGAGAGTCAGAAGTCGATGAAGACAGTAAGTACAACGGTTGCAAATAAAAGCAGCGAACACGACACCAGATTATAGATTTTGTTTCTTCTCATGGTGTTGAAACACAGTTTGATCTCATGTTGGTTAAATAAATTCCACAAAATGACATGTCAGCTCGAAATCCTAAATATATAATTATGAATAATGCAAGTGTGTAAAAAAAACAACTCACAAACACACACACTTTTTTTTCTTCAATAATAATAATAATAAAATTAATAGTGGGTTCTTGTATAGCGCTCATGTCAGTCAGATTTGACCCAAACAATACAAATTAATTTTAGAAATAAAATACAGTCGTTTTTCCTTGACATGAATTCAAAATATTTTCATTACATAAATTGTACAATTGATGAAAACGAAAATGAAATCAGTTGTAACATAAAACAAATAACCCCATCCAACCGAACACACTACTACCCCCCCCCCTCCCCACCATGCGACACACATACCACCCGACCACACTTCCAACACACACTGTTCCTCCTCAGAATACCCCGAATTGGAGCAACAGACAAACAGAAACAATCTATTTAAAACATTTTAAAACAAAATCATTTAAACGAGGCTACAATAGCCACAATAGCCCAGTGTTAAAAGTTCATGAAAATTTTACTTGTTCCCACTTCTGCAAATGTAAGGCCAATTTACCTGCCCTCCCTGCAATATTCTTTTCTTCTTCCATAAATTCCAACAGTTCTTTTTAAAACTCTCCCAAAGACAATATTACGGACTTTCCCCTGCATCTATATATCCAATATTTCATTGCAAAAATATTTATATTAAAAATCTTTATTCGTGGGGAGTTACCGGACAACCCTAAATGAATATCTATCCAGTCGATAGACCTTCATTCCCTTAGCTCAAACTTAGCTATTACATTTTGCCATAATCTTTGAACATGTACACACTCCCAGAACAAGTATAAATATGTTTCTATCTTTTGCTTACAAAATGAGCACAAGTTATCTACAACAAAGCCGAATCTGAATAAATGTTCTCTAGTATATATTGCTCAATGAAGCAGTTTATACTGAATTTCTCTTAGTCTGTTAACAAGAGTAACTTTCCTAGGCCTACTAAATATCTCCCTACATACCTCATTTGACAAATCTGAAAATTCCCGTCCATCATGAATCTTCAAGACAAATAAATTTTGTAACTTCTCTATAAAATATTCATAAATCTTCCTCAATAATACATCTCTGAGGAGCTTCACAACACTGTTAACTGCATTAAAATATCATACTCTTTTACATCCACTAATCTCCAGTTATCCTTTTTTCCGCTTCTCAAAATAGCTTCCCCAATATTCAATATATCAACAATTTTGTTTCTTTTTAACCCCAAATTTTGAAAATGAGATATTGCCCCCATGCCATTTTTAGCAAAAATATCTTGAATTGAAATTATATTGCGTGTAAACAACTCCTCATCAAAAATCATTTTCTTTTTCAATAAGAAATCTTTATTGTTAAAAATAATTGGATTATTCTTTTCTTCAAAATTCCTACAACCTTCTAACTCTTCCCATGCTTTGATCATTTCCAAATAGAACTTAGGTACTTTGAAACTTAATAACTTGGAATCATAGTTACACAAAAAATAATTCTACCCCTACCATCTTGAAGCAGAAATCAAAATATAGCTTCCATCTCATAGATTTTTCTCCGTAAAATAGTCTTTTCACCCACATTACCCGTTGGTTTTTTACAAACAGGTCAAAATTAGTCATTCGAAACCATCCTTCATTATAACCTTGATACAATATTATTCTCTTAATTCGATCTTTTCCATTCCATATAAATTCAAAACATATTTTCTGTATTTCCGATATGATCCACTTTGGAACCACTAGTAAAGCAAAAACGTAATTTAATTTACATAATGCATGTGTTTTTGATAAATGAATTTTTCCAAACACCGTACGGTCCCTCTGTTTCCACCATCCGAGAAGTCTTTTAATCTTGCTTAAAATCTCCTTATAATTCAGTTCCTCTCTTATTCTGACGTCTAACGGCCTTGTTGGGAAGTACATATTCCCTATTAAGAGCCTCGTATCACAAATTAAACCTTTTAATAAAATAAAACGACCATCCACATCTTTGACTACTTCCTCCACTTTAACATCTACATTTTTCGAAAATGGAAGAAGAACTCCTCTACTGTGATTCGATCCATGACAACAGTACATTGGCCCTTCCCAATCCTTTCTCCACGCAAATTCAATATCTTGTGTACTGTACGTTTCTTGCAACATTACTACAACCCTTTTCTTACTTTTAATCCAATTAAAAATAGCTAATCGTTTAGTCCTATCCCTTAAACCTCTAACATTTACCGAAATAAAATTGACACTATTCAGTGATTTTCTGTTCTATCTATACACATACTTAAACAAAAATTGTAATAAGAATTTGTTTTCAATTGTAAAGTTTCCATGAAATTATGAACATCTATTGGCCTCAAATTAAAAACAAACAGCTTCATTCATGCGCCCCAAGTTGCAACTCGTGAGCATAGGCAGGAACAGACACCCCCTCATGCACAGACATACACACAGAGAAAAAGAGGTTTGAATTCACTCCATATAGGGAGTAAATGCTTGTCGCATAAGTGACACCCCTCATGGAGTAAATTTACTCCCCAATGTAGGGAGTAAATTTACATCCTACAAGAAGGTGTAAATTTACACCCCAAGGTTATGATTTTACTCCCTTTTTCATGAAAAATGGGTTCAAATTTACACCCGTGGGGTTGAATTGTATACACTATATGATTGATTCCACACCCTGTGGGGTGTAAATCTACACCCTTCTTATGCACAGCATCAACCAATTGATCATCCCTCGAGCAATCCATCATCCTTGCTCCGTAATCACATAACAGTCACTGATTCTCACCCTTTTGTCTACGTTTCACTGCTCTAAAGAAATCAGACAAGAATCTCGAGTTGTATGTCGAAAAGCTTTAATGCTTTAACAGTTAGTGTGAACTCAACACAAGTGCAGACTGTAAGAACCATTAAAAGTTAGCCTCGGTGAGGCTGTCCTGGATGGACGTGTCGGATCAAATGTAGTAGAAATACCTATATACACAATCTTGCCTTCCCGAATATCTTCCCTTTACTTACACGAATAAGAAGGCAATTATGTACTAGTTAGTAAAACAACACTTCTGCTAATTTCATTAAATTATCAAATATACGTTTCACTGCTCTAAAGAAATCAGACCAGAATCTCGAGTTGTATGTCGAAAAGCTTTAATGCTTTAACAGTTAGTGTGAACTCAACACAAGTGCAGACTGTAAGAACCAACTTAAAGTTAGCCTCGGTGAGGCTGTCCTGGATGGACGTGTCGGATCAAATGCAGTAGAAATACCTATATACACAATCTTGCCTTCCCGAATATCTTCCCTTTACTTACACGTATAAGAAGGCAATTATGTACTAGTTAGTAAAACAACACTTCTGCTAATTTCATTAAATTATCAAATATAACTTTTGGTAAAACCCCTTATTCTAGATCAGATAATTTTCACAATGCCCAAATGAAACATGATAATTCCCCCAACATGACTAAAATATGTAACTTATATTAATTTTCCTTCATTTGCCAGTACCTATATCGACACGATGCGCTCGTCTGACTAAAATAGGGTGTAAAATTACACCCCTCAAATGACTTTTCTCTACACCCTTGCGTATTTCCGTGTTTTACTCCCTAAAAGGTGTAATAGGGGGCGCCCTATTTTTCCAATTTCGTTGTACTCCCGAAGAACACCTTTTATTTCTCTGTGTGTACCACAACACAGACAGCATACAAACACACTCACCCATAATAATGCAATATCATTCATTTATCACAATTCTTCAGTACGCCCTCCGACCCCGCTCATAGCTCTGAACTGAAAACCCAGCCCACCCCTCCCCCATAATGCACACCCACACACGCACACACACACACACACGCACGCACACACACACAACGCACACACAATCTCCATGCAGCAAAAATTAATATCTTATCACCAGGACAGATGTAAGGTGGTCTAGTGGTTACGTCGTCGGACTGACGATCACAGGATTCGCGGTTCGAGTCCCACCGTGGCAACTAATGTCCTTTGACATTACATTAATCTAGATTTGCCACTCTCCACCAAGGTGTTAAATGGTACCGGCAGGGAGGAATTCCTTGAATGATGTGAGCACTGATACAGTAGCTTAGAAGAGACGGGGTAATATTGGAGCGCCTTGAGTACCTTTATAAGTGGTGGATAATTATGTGTGCTATACAAATATCCAATATTATTATTATTATTAGTGGTGTAGAGATTACTCGAGTAATTACTAGATAATTCCAGTTGATATTAGATCACTGAGACCACTTTGTTAGTAAAAGGATAAGATGTATAACTTGATGCACTCTTTCAGTAGAACAAAGGAGTGGAAATCCATTCTGTCAGAAACCACATTAGGGAACACTTTTTTTTAGTTGAAAAAAGTCAATAAGCCTATTTTGTAATGTAACCAAATGTATGAAAATGCTTTTATGAAGTGCCTCGATTCAAATGGAATCGAGGCACTTGTTTTTAAATTTGATGACATTACGAAAATGGCATATTCAAATTATTGTGGAATCCATTCCACATTAGTGGTTTTAATTTGACGGTGGATTCCACTACTTAAGAGTGTGGAGTTCTACCTTAAAACAAAATGATGCCTTATACGACTCCTCAGTGGATTTCTGATTATCTAGAAAATACGTGTATGTTATGTATAGGTCTTGATGTTTCAATAAACGAAGGTATTTGATTTGGTATGTTTGTTTAAAAAGAATAGTTGCACCGGAGCATTGCAATACAAGATTGTATATGAATGTTCATTCGCTACATTATGCTCTTAGACTTGTGATAATGATACTCATTACATGCCTCCGAATGATGGAACAGACATATTTTCCTGAATTCACACGTCGCAAACTCTAAAAATGCCATCCGGTGAAAATATTGTCTGCTCCATAATAAAAAAGTAACTTTACGCAATTGTACATTTTAGTACGGCTCCTTCAGATCAATCCAACTATAATAAATGAAAGTTTCTCCATGTGATTGGCGTTCACAATGTTCAAAACCTCTTAGCATTATTCATCAGATTTT